GCGGGGGGGGCATCAGCAGTACAGTTCCCCCTGAAGGGCTGGTTGTAAATGGAAGTCTGTATAGATGTAACTACTCCATAATGTTTTAATAAATGTTTCTGGAATTGATTATTTATTCAATTTACTCAATAAATTGTTCATTAGTGTGTAATTAAAAAACTTTTAATTCTTTAGGTTCAGAAACTCTGCTGCATGGACTTTATTAAATGATTTTTTTTTAAGGTCTCATGGACCATACAAAATGACTTGGCGGGCCACATTTGGCCCCCGGGCCTTGAGTTTGACACGTGTTGTAGATGGTTTCACATGTTCTGTATGAAATGTTTTCAATGTTTTTGAACATTTAATGTGTAACTACGTTTAGTTTCATATCTTAGATGACATCTTGTTTAGTTTTATTGTTTACATGTGGAACCGATGAAGTTTGCACTTGGAACCAGATTTTTATTTTTTTTACCACTGTATGAAACTGTTATTTTTACGCTCTTGTTGTTTAAATCCAAAGAAGTGGTGTGAAGTTGCACCAGTTTGAAGGTTAGGAAACACGATCTTCATCAGGTATCTGGGACTGTTGTAGTTTTTATATTTGTTTATTGAGGAACGTTACAGATGCAGCTGTTTTTTGGTTCCACATTTGCGTTTATTTTTGTTGTGATTTCATAAAAATCCAAAAGATTTTTCTACATTTCTTGTTCTAGTTTTACAAGAAATGTACAAACTCCTGAATGTCTTTCCAGACAACCGTTTATGTCCTAATTGTCCACCAGAGTTTTCTTAGTCCCACATGTTCTTAGTGGAACTTTTGAACGTTTTTACGTGCTGTGTGCAGAACTCAGTTATTACTATGGTGCCTCAGGTTTGTGCCAACATGTTCTCACGTGTTTACTTTCTTTGTTTCCTTCTCTGTTGTAAAACTTCAGCTTTTTTTTTTTTTTTTTTTTTAGGTAAAACGATCCAACCAGAACCAGGGCTGGATGGTTTTATTTGAACGTGGAATGTTTGGTTCTCTGTTTTTGGAGCGGTGAAGATGTAAACCTGTTCTCACTCTGAAACGTTCTGCTCTGATGAAAGGCACAGCCTCAGGTGTCAAACTGCTGCAGGGAACACGTTCAACCAGGACTCTGTTCTCTGACTGAGGTTCTTACTCTGCAGTTCTAGTACAAATATTACCTGAGGTTTCTTCCTTAGTACTGTTCTGGACTTTTCAGACGTCTTTGAAGATCGTTTTAACCCACCACTGCTCTTCAGAGTTCTGTAGAAGTATTCAGTACTTTTTAGTATTTCTTCAACAACTGTGAGCTTGTCATGAATCGTCTTTGTCTTTGACGTTACGTTCAATCTCCCGGTCTCCAGAACCAGTCAGCACTCTCTATTTTTGTCTGTTTGTCTTCAGTTCGTCGTCCAAACATCAAAGTCTGGATCAACGTCACAGGTGACACCGTCATGATGAAGTTTCTCCGTCCAAATGCCGACATGAAGCTGGAAGGTTACGTCCTGGGCTACGGCAGCAGCATTTTCTCCAAACAGTTCATCCAACTACCGGAGAATGGAGAACCTTACAGCACCGAGCTGAGTGAGTGAGAACTCAAACTAACCCTAACCCGTCTTAACTAAACCAAACCAGGTCAACAACATTACTCAGATTTGTCTTTTCCTAATCTAATCCCAAACCAATCATACGAACCTCCTGTTCAGGGTTAAAACTCTGGACTTGTTTTATTAAGGAATAACTTTATATTTAACCATTTGGTCTGAAATTGATTTTTTTTTTTTTCTCTCGCTCTGATCTGCAAACATTTGAAATCTTCACTCTGGTTCTGTGCAGAGTTTTGAGAGGCTGCTCTTTGATGTGAAGATTGAATTAAGTGAAATTAAATCCAGATCAGTTTAATGTGGACTCAGCGGGAGTCTGTCTTTCTTTAATCACGTGTTCCCTCAGGCCAACTGTCAATCACCGTGAGTTGGTGGAGCTCATGAGCTCTCATTGAGGATCTGACTGCAGCTCAGGGGTCAGAGCAGAGACACTGGCTCTGACTTAGAATAAAGACGGAGGTCTGTGGACTTTAGTTTGTCAGAGTGAAGCCTGAGAGTCAGTACAGGGACGTCTACTGACTCTATCACTACATTTTTAAATGCAGTATTTTAGTGCTGTGTAAAATTAATGAATTTGCATATACATAAACATATTTTAAGTGATACAGTTAAAAAAAGATTTGGTTTGAAAACACACACAATAAGACACATCAGTAAAAATATTTCTTCAAATCATTAATGGAATAAATATAAATGAAAAAATATTATATATATATATATAAAAGCTGGACTGTTGAAATGTGATTTTTTTTGTTTCAGAGGCGGAGCCTAAATACCTCATAGCCGTGCAGCCAATCCCAGTCAACAACATAAAGAAACACTGCAAAGGTACCACTCATCACTTCCTGTCAGCCTCCGAGCACTTCCTGTTAGCCTCAATCAACACTTCCTGTTCGCTCATGTCCTCAGGGAAAGTGAACCTGCAGGAGCCTCTGCACCTGGTCATCGGTTCTGTCACTCCCACAACAGTTCTTCTGTCCTGGGGAAACACCCTGAAGACGTCATATGAAGGGAATGTGATGAAGGAGTGTCTGGAGGAAGGGTCAGCATCATGAGGCGTTCACTGACCCTCACATTTTCGGTCGCCTTTTTCTAACTTTGGATTGGTGTCGTCCGTCCGCCACAGGTTCTACACTGTCAGGTATCGGGAGAGGAACAGGAAGTGGAACTATCGTACATGTCCAACCACTGACACTGTCATCGACCACCTGAAACCCAACACTCCCTATGAGTTCAGCGTTCAGTCGAACACGGGTCAGCGGAGCGGCGCCTGGAGTAAAAGCCTGATCCACAGCACCGACACTGACGGTGAGATCACAGAAATATATAAATATATTTGACCACTCCATTCTTTAGTTTTACCAACGATCAATTGTTTTAGTCATAGCTTTGTTGTTGTTGTTGTTTTCACTATGACTCTTGTTTTATCTTCACAGATAAAAAACCACACAAGACATTTGGACTCTTAAACGCACTGGTGAGACTCAATCACAACAAACACACCAATACATTCACAATACGGATACACAACAAAAAGACAAATACTACTTTTATTCCTTTATGTCTTTTTTTTTAATTCAAGAATCCTTCTGGACCTCAGGATGTCTTCCCTCCTCGTCTTGGTGAGACACACAGACACGTTCATGGACAATCTACCTAATCGTATCAGTTTATTTAATCAGGATTTCCCTCTCTGCAGCTCTGCACAACAGAACACACACCAGGAATCTTCCTCCGCCGAGGAAAGTGCACACTCTGACAGGTGAAATACACACTCTTACACACTCATGTTCACGGGGCTGAAGCCAGAAAATCACAATGGGGAAATTTACAGTGTGAGTCTTTGCAAACAACACATGCTGCCACAGGGGGCGCCATTAGGGAAATATGGTTTTTCTCTGGGATTTGAACCCAGGACTCTCTGCTCCTTACGTGCAAGGCAGGCATGCTAACCGCTACACAATGGACAAGCTATCTAGTTTTTATTTCTCCTTCTTTACTCATTAAAGTGGCGTTGCTCTGATTGGCTGTGTATAAACCTGTTGGTCAAGATCAATCAGCTCATCTGACCTTTGAACCCCCCTCCACACTGACTGCAGATCAGTGAGAACTCTTCTTCTGTATTCTCCATCCATCAACTGTTTTGTTTGTAAATGTCTGTATCCTCCTGGAGGAGCGCTAATGCCTGCTAGCCTTTCTGTCTCCGATGCTGTAAATGTGCCTAACTTAATTCAAACACTCAGCGATCCTTCACTCTCCATTTTCTATGGAGGTCAACTTTGACGTCTGGTTTCCCTCAGGGAGAAATCTACTTTTTTGTCCAACAGTTTTTCTGGATTGTGGCTCCTGTCCTTTTTCTCCATCCTTTCTTGCAGTATTGGCTGTATCATTCACATGTTTCATCCAATCACAGGACCTCAGACCTCACTTCCTGCCTTAGCCCCCCCTCCCCTCATTCTTCCTCCAGCTTCCTGTCTAACATGCATCTTTTGTCCAACACACCTGTCAGGTCCTGCCTGATCCAGTTGCAGTCCTGATGTGATGCAGTGATGTCAGTCTGACATCATCATGACTGACTGCATCATAAGATCCAAGTGTTCAGATGGGATTTTTGAACTGAGGGGACCAAGCAGTCAACAATACTACTACTACCACACACACACACACACACACAACTGAACTTGAACTTTGTTTGAGTTCTAAACCTGGTTTTATTCCAGGAAAGTTCTCAGAGACTGGTGTTGGACATGATGCTCTGCTTCTGCAGTACTGTATCTCACACAGACTATGTAACAGTGACTTCTCTCCCTGCAGTAAAGGGACATCCACAAGGGGGCGCTGGGTCCCCACTCAGACCCATCTCGTGGCAGAAGCAAAGACTTGGTAAAAAAAAAAAAGTTTTTGTTCGTTCCATCATCAGCAACAAACTTTAGTGGTTGTCTGTCCTTCATCTGTCCATCCACCATGGACATGTCCATCTGTCCATCCACTCGTGGACATGTCCATCTGTCCATCCACCCATGGACATGTCCATCCACTCGTGGTCATGTCCATCTGTCCATCCACCCATGGACATGTCCATCTGTCCATTTGCCTTTCGTTTGTCCACGTCCATCACCTTGTTCTAAGTTTTGAGTCTGTGCAATGTCCTGGTGACGTCACCAGGACTTAACCGTCTTGCTAATGGCTAACAGTTAACTCTCCTGCTGTAGGACAGTTGGTCTCTTCATGCCTCATCTGTCATGAGTCCTTGTCTCTTGTTGTGTCTCCTTCATATGACCCACTGCTTCCTGTTTTATGTACTACTCTCTGTTGGACTCAGGTCTTTGGTTCAGTTCCTGACTAGTCCTTGTGTGAATGTTCTAAGGTTCCTCAGGTTCTCCTGCTCGTCCTCTGGTCCTCAATAAGAAACTGAACCTGGTGAAGACACTGGGACAGTCAGGTTACTGTCACATCATCAACCGCTGCTTATATTTATTTATTGTTTGGGGTTTGTTTGTTTATTTGCCGTGTTTGTTTTTGCTTCAGAGACGGGGGCAAACTTCAAACTGAAGGACTCGTTTCCTGTCCTCAAACCTAAAGCCCCGCCCACTGCCGCCAGAGCCACTAAGCAGCAGCCGAAGACCACCGTGACCACGCCTACCAGTAGAGGCACAAGTCATGCCACGCCCACTAGTGCCCCCGGTGTGTAATATTTTAAAAAAATCAGCTTTAATCCCAGGAAAAGTAGTTTGCGATTTTTTTATAAACATAAATGTTTCTTTTTAGTTGCCCAACCCTATTGGCTGCCTCACAGTCAATGTTCTGATTAATCCTTTCCTATCAGCACCACACCAGGAGACCTGGGAGGAATCAGAACTGTTTCAGTCCCAGCCCACGTCTGACCTGGACGCCTCAGGGAAGAAGCGTTACGTCGGTGAGGGACACCTCTGCCTCTGATCCAGAATCAGCTGCTGATCCGTTCTTTGTTTGTTCACCTGCACCTCCTCTCTCCTCCAGCTCCTCATGTCATATATCAGACGGGAAAACGACCGGATGAGCCGTGCTCCATCACCTCCTCCCTTGCTTACTTCCCCGAAGACAAAAGCAGCAGTGCTAATGTAGCGGCTCTGCCTGAAGCCCCGCCCTCTAACCTGACGGTGGTTACAGTGGAAGGATGTCCGTCGTTTGTCATCCTGGACTGGGACAAAACAGACAACAGCACAACTGGTATGCTGCCATCACAGTTTGGTTTGTGAAAAACAATGACCTCAAATCCACCGTTGTTCCCTGTCAGAGTACGAAGTCATCTCCACGGCCAAAGGACCCGACGGCGAGAAGGTTTCCATACTCACCACCAACCAGACTCACACCGCTGTGGAAAACCTGAAACCTGAGAGTAGGTGAGTGAGCTGACCAATCAGAGAGGTTCATTTTAAACACACACACGTGTGCTTGTCTTCTCCTCTGTGAACTCACCTGTGAAAACACCATTTATTTTTGATAAGTTACGAGTTTAAGGTGAAGCCAAAGAATGAGTTGGGGGCGGGGCCAGCTAGCCAGCCCGTGTCCTTCAACACTGAATCAGGTAAGGATTATTTCAGTCGTCACCTGTGTTGATGCTGTCCAATCGAAGAGCAGTGATGTCATTTTCTGTTTCCTGTTTCGTCAGCTGACCCCCGTGTGAGTGAAAATGCTTCTGGTAGGTTCTTTTGGCACAAGTCACATGACCTCGTACCGCTATAGAGACTAGTTTAATGATGGACGTGTTCTCTTAGGAAAAGACGCTATCTGGACACAGTTCCCCTTTAAGACCGACTCGTACTCGGACTGTCATGGAAAACAGTACATCAAACGGACCTGGTACCGGAAGTTTGTAGGAGTCCAACTGTGTAACTCCCTCCGATACAAGATTTACTTAAGCGACACGTTAAACGGTTAGTCCTGGACACCAACACCTCCCGGTCATGTGATGTCAGTGATGTGACCCACCTGGATGTGTTCTGGTCCACAGGTAAATTCTACAACATTGGAGACCAGTCTGGTTTTGGAGAAGACCACTGTCAGTTTGTGGACTCATTTTTGGAGGGAAAAACGGGCCGACAGCTCCAGACTGACCAGCTGCCGTCTCGACCAGGTTTGTTGGGTTAGAGAATCTTACCAGAACCAGCAACAACGCAACGGAACCGCTGAGAACAACCGGTTTTCATTTGCTTAATTTTTTTTCTTTATTTGCTTGTAGGTTTTTATCGCGCCGTCCGCCAGGAACCGGTTCACTTTGGAAAGATTGGAGGACACTCTCACACAAACTATGTCTCCTGGTATGAGTGCGGAATACCGATTCCTGGGAAGTGGTGAAGGGAGCGCTGTCTTCAGATGGAATGTGACAGACACGCTCCACCTTTTTTACACCGTGCTGTAAAAACATGGAAAACTCCATTCAGGAACACTGAGGTTATGATTCCTGTGTGCAGCCGAAGGCAGCAGCAAACATTTCATTTATGTAAATAGAAGCTGCCGCTCGCTGTTACTCGCCACCACCAAGGGGGCAGCACATTTACTTGTTACCTGTAAAAAAAAAAGGTGACCCTGGGACTGCGACAAAATGTATTTTGGTGAACAGAATCTAATGTAATCATTTTAATTGGATTCTAAAAGTAGAGTTGTTGTCAGTCTACTCTCGTTGTTGCCCCCTGTGGGATGGATGGTGTTGCCTGCTCTGTCCTCAACCTCACGCACAATCAAACTTGCGTTTTGCACAGATATGAAACAGAATTTTTTTTGGAAGCAGATTTTTATCATTAGCTATTTAATGATACAGCCAAGTTTAAGATCAGCTAGCCCTCTGTTGGCCTACTTTCTGGACCATGTTTGGGATCTAGACTGTGGGACATTTATCTGGCCAATCTGGAGTGTTATGTTCACTCCATTTCTGTTGTCTTACCTCTTGCCAGATAATTCCTTCTGGTCTGACTCTAGTCTTCTGGTCCTGTCTTTGAATATCTAAAATGTGGTCCAAGTTGTGGTAGCCCCTTTGTCTTAGGGGTTTTGTCCTTCTGGTCCCACACGTTTTTCTTTCCCTCTCTTTCCAGAATGTCTGGTCTGATGTTAGTCTTTAGTTCAGGCTTTAGTCCAGATGTAGCCCCCAGCAGATGTGGTACTTTTAAAACTACATCATTAGTATTAATGTTTTCTGTAATAAATGTGTTTTTCTGTGTCTGTTTAATTGTGTGTGCATTATATGAAAAATAAATGAATCATTTCAAATAATTACTGGTACACAATTCACTAAAATCTTGGCCTGTTTAGTTGAAGACAATTCTGACATACTGGCAGGAATTGAAGAAAGACACGCACAAAGATCTTCTTCAACAGCACTGATTATTCTTTTTAGTTTTAAGAGTATTTAATTGTTTTGCCTGTCATACATGAACAAATTATACAGAACCATGTACAGAACCACGTACAGAACCACGTACAGAACCACGTACAGAGACCAGACGAGACGGTTGAAATGGAATCTAATGTTTGTTGTCGTTCCTCTAGTTCTAATGAAACATCGGTTTCATAAAGACATGAGAATGATGCTAGCTCAGTGCTAACATTACTAACATGGTGCTAACCAGGTGCTTATACCATTAAGACATTAATCATCTGTCAGAGCTGCTGTCAGAGATGATGAATCACATCTGAAGGATCCTGGTTCTTCTTGGTGGATGTTCAAACCTTTTCCCCAACCACCAGAGACTGTGCACGTGTAGAGAAAGCTGTGAAAACACCTGTCCTTCAGCTGAAAACCTCCAATCCCACTTACATCATCCAGGAAACACCTGAACCTGAATCCAGGCCCAGATTTAATGGTCCTTGAAGGCTGGACCTGCTCGTGTCTGAACTCCTCTGTCTGCTGCTGAAGTGTTGGTCTCAGGGACACAGCCACATTCCTGGAACGACGTGTCGGCCTTGGTGAGCAGCAAGTGTTTCAACATATGTTCCAGGTCCAGGTTTTTACAGGAACAAAAGATACTTCTGTTTCTCAAGGAGAACACACACTCACACACACTCACACACACTCTTATTGCCGCCCTCCAAAAAAACCCAAAACAACCCCACAAATCAGTACAATTTCCCTGCCATGGTTTATTTTTAAACATTTGCTTATTGAACTGTTTGTACTGTATATACTGTAGTACATGTTTCTGGTCCTTCACCTTCAGAGGCTGCTGCTGTCATAGAAGTGTGCGATTACTCAGACTGGAGTTCTTTTAACTTTATACCTTCCCCAACTGTTTTTGTGCGACAGCACATATTTTTCATGAGGAAGACCCCATGGCCCACAACAAAACAAAAATGAGACAAAAAAGGTATATGTGATCAAATATAATAACCTTCTAGTTTAATTATACTCACAATTCACTAAAATCTGGACATGTTTAGTTGAAGACAACACTGATATACTGGCAGGAATTGAAGAAAGACACTCACAAAGATCTTCTTCAAGTTAATTTTCATAACCATTTGCTGCCACCTAGAGGATGAGTATTAATTGCCACACAGTGACAAACTATGAAAAACAATGCAATATATAAATAATATTTTTTCAGACCAATTAAGTGAACTTGGGTAATTCTCCACTGCACAATCACTTCTCTGATCTGATCAGAAAGTCTGCTCTGATTGGCTCTTATCGCAGGGTAACCCATGAACCAATGACAGCCTCAGGTCTGTCCTTCACTCACTCACCTGTGTCTGGTGCTTCCTAGTTCGTCAGTGTCACTCCTCTCAGCTGGTCCCCGTGTTCCTCTGTCTCTGCTCGGTCGTCGTCGTCGTTCTGCTTGGGTTTTGCTGTTCTCCGTGTTAAGGAATTCCAGGTCAGTTTTATCTGAGTTTAGAGTTTAGACTCAGTTCAGTTTTCTGTTGGATTTCCAGTCTGGTCTTAGTTTTGGACTTTATTATTAAACGTTTCACCTGGGCCCTGTCCCCTGAGTGCTTCATTTCTGTGGCTGCTGTGGACCAGCGAATAAATCCTCACTCTGGGTTTAATTTTAATGTCAAACTACGTATTGTCCTTATTGACACAGTTAGGGATTCACAGCAGGCCACGCCCCCCACATTTCTTTTTGTAAAGAGTTAGTGAATTAATCTGCTGCAACACACTGTGACATCAAAAGTCTGTGTTTGAAAATTCCACACGTTGGTTTCATCTGTTCCACCATTCGCTCTCATGGAGACTTTCCTACAAGTCTCAAACAAAAGTCTGAACCTGAACCAAAACAACATCGCTTCATCAGCTCAGAGCTTGCCCCCCGCACCCCCTCGGTCTGCCACAAGGGGCTGGTCCAAAACCCAGCGTGGGGCCCAGCAGAGCCAGGACTCTGATTACTCCAACAAACCCGGAGCAGTGCCAGAGGAAGGTTGATTGTTTGAGCAGAAAGTGAGGCTGTCAGCAGGATTCTATTTCCTACTGGGCTGATTTCAATCTGGGTGGGAGGCGAAGATCAGAAGGAAAAACTAGATGAGAACAAAAACCAAAGTGCTCTGTTCTGGTCTCTTTGCAAAATTAGATAATTTGTCTTCAGCGGCCTCCGCCCACTCACATTTGTCCGAGTTGAAAGGAAAACTAAGGAGAGATCGAAGGGTTTGTGGCAGTTTTCTAGCTAACCCTCTGACACCAGACTGAAGAAAGTGTGATTTAATTTGGAGGGAGGTTCACCGCTGCCTCCACCAAACAGAAGAACACGATGTCCTGAAATGTATGTGGACCTTTGGGAGCAGCCGGTACTAACTCAGTACCAGTTTCACGTCATGTCACAAATCCAGGCTGTGTTCAGGGAAACCCCCGGCCCAGGACTCATAAAGTCATCAAACCACACACTGGAGCGCCACATCTGGTTCTGTTCAGAGTCTCTGCAGATCCTTCAGCGTTCTAATGGCCTACAGACTCCACCTGCCCCGCCTGTGTACCCCCACAGAGGAAACACACCACCCTGCAGCTGTGGGTCACTTCAGGATGGATTATATAACAGAAAAAAACCAGATTCTTGTCCCGAGGTTCTCCAGGATGACGGTTGGTTCTGATCCACCGATGGACCTCCTGAACAGTCTCCTCTCCTTTTGAGGACTTTAACACGGACTGCCAAGTCCAGGGTTCTGAATTCCATGTACTGAGCTGAGCTAACATGCTATTTCTGTTCTGGAGGTACTCAGTGTTTTTATTCTGTGGTCCAGGTCTGTGGAGCAGAACCAGGAACATCGTCTCTCTGCAGACCCTGTTCTGTGCTGATGCAGTCAGAGCCTTTCTGATCAGCCCACAATCACCATGAACATGTTGATAATAGTAAACCGTTTATTCTCCGCACAGATAAAAACAAACCCAGCTCTAAGAGACTAATGAGCCGACGGTCCACCGCTGCCTCCTGTGGACACCGTGTGTCACTGAGCTCAATCTAACCACAGGGTTTCAAACAGTTAAATGACCAAATAATACAGTTGAGCTGGAGGTATCAGTGAGGACAGTAGCTGTGATTGGCTCATCAGGAGCTGCAGCTGAGTTTAGTGAAGTGTTTTATTGAGCGTCAGCCCCTCGTAAAGAACACAGCCAGTGTTCAACAAACATGTGGTCAGTTTAATGACTTCAGACCTGAAGTGTATTCTTGTTTATGGTCTCAACTGAGAAAAAAAGGGTTTTAAATCTGTCAACAACTGTAAAAAACAAAAACAAAAAAAAAACCCACAAAGGGTTCATTGATTCTGCTTTTAATGAAAAGATCACTGTTTAAAATGGTCCAAATTAGAAATATTTCGGTTGGTTACCAACAGATGTGACATGTTCAGATTTGATATTTCACTTTATACTATTTATACAGATTCAAAGTGTTCAGTTTTATTTTTAAAAAATGTTTAGATTTGACTCGAACATTAGACGTGTTCAGTTCAAATTAGAAACTTTAAAAATAAACAAGTTCAGATTAGGAAAAAGGAGTTTAGATGAAATTAAACATTCGCCTTGAACATATCAGGTGTACAATAGATGAAACATTCAACAGTGGATTAGTGATTTGGAAGAATCTGTGAATCTTTTGCTCTGCACTCTAAAAGTGTCTCTCAGCGACTGACGGTAAACTGAGCAGACCAGTCACTGACCAGTTAAAATTTGACCAGTCTAGTCTCACGCTACCCTGACCTTTGACCTTCCACAACAACAGCAGCTGTTGATTTATCCTTTGGCCCTTGTTGATGATGTCAGTTGGACCAAACAGGAGGCGGAGTCAGAGTTCATGACTGAGCGGTCAAGGGGCGGAGCATGAGCTCAAAGGTGAGATCGTCGAACGGCACGACTCAGATGGAGTGAATTTCAAACTTCATTGAAGAAAGAAACGAATCCAAACACGTGATTTGATTGTTCACTCTTTATTCTGCTAATCTGACTGTCACACTGTGGATCAGTGGGTTTGATTTTCAACAGCATGGCTCAACTGGTGGAGTGTGTTCCAAACTTCTCTGAAGGGAGAAACCAGGAGGTACGTCCGACGAGATTACACACAATCAGATTATTATTATTATTGTAGCCGCTCTAAAGAGATGATATTTAATCTGATTATTGAACTGTTCATCTTTATTATTAACCACAATAAATAAATGAAAAATATATATTTGACCTCTGATCATACACTGGTTTATATAATATGTTAATCTATAAAAGAGAATATATTTAATCTGATTATAAAAATATGATGTATATTAAAGGTTAAGGATGAAAAGGTTCAGAATGAATATAATTAGAAACTGATTTTTTTGCAAAGCAACTATTACAACAGTTTATATTTACTGTGTTGGTGAGATAATAGATGACTGATGTTTACATATTTATATATTTTTTCTAATTCTGAAACTCTGTGACTGTTTACACAGCTCAGCCAGACAGTTTTCTAGTCCAAAGTCCATACTTTTCTCCAGATCAGTTTAAGGTTTAACTGTTGACCTTTGAACTGCCCTTCTCTCTCCCTCTCTCCCTCCCTCCCTCCCTCCCTCTCTCACGCTCTCTTTACTTTTGGTACGCCGGCTCAGGTGATCGATGCCATCTCCAAGTCCATCTCCCAGACCGTCGGCTGCAGTCTTCTAGATGTAGACCCGGGCTCCTCCACCAACAGGACCGTCTTCACCTTCGTCGGTTCTCCTGAGGCTGTGGTGGAGGGGGCGCTCAGTGCTGCACGTACCGCCTTCAGCCTCATCGACATGAGGCATCACTCAGGTGAGGGGGCGGGGCCAGAATATTCACCCCAGACCAAAACTGAGGGACACTTCAGTCACGTGAGCCGTCGTGTTTTTTAGGTGAACATCCTCGAAACGGGGCGATGGATGTCTGTCCCTTCATCCCTGTTCAAAATGTGTCCATGGAGGACTGCGTCCGCTGTGCTACCCAGTTTGGACAGAGACTGGCAGACATGCTGCATGTCCCCAGTAGGACCACACCAGGTTTTAACTCCAGTTTATAGTTTCAATCTGAGCCTGTCTAACTCAGTTACACTCCTGTCGTCAGTTTATCTTTATGGAGAAGCTGCTCGTCAGGAGAAGAGACGGAGTCTGCCAGCAATCCGGGTCGGAGAGTATGAAGCTCTACCAGAAAAGGTGTTGTTCAGTTCAGATAACGGTACCTTGGGTCTGATTATTCATGTGTTCACATCGAAACTGCTCATTCTTATTATCCCATCTGTGTGTGACCCAGTTGAAACATGAAGAGTGGGCCCCAGACTTTGGCCCTGCCACCTTTGTCCCATCATGGGGTGCCACAGTAACCGGGGCTCGTAAGTTCCTGATTGCTTACAATGTGAATCTGATCAGTACCAAGGAACAGGCACACCGCATCGCTCTAGACATCAGAGAGCAGGGTCGTGGGAGGGAACAGGTGTGTGGAAAGAGAGATCCAGTCCAGTTTGTCTAACTGAACTACACCAACCTGACTGGACTAACTGTACCAAAGCACCAGACTAAAGTGATGTATTTTCTGTGTCCTCAGCCTGGACGACTCCAGAAGGTCCAGGGTCTGGGCTGGTACCTGGACGAGGCCCATCTGGCTCAGGTCTCTACCAACATCTTAGACTATGAGGTGACGCCCGTCTCTGCTGTGTATGAAGAAGTCTGCAGAACAGCAGAGGTGAGTTAGCCTAGCATTAGCTCAGGCAGAAGAGTTTCCCCAGCACTGTTACCAGAAAAACCGTTAAATTAGTCTTTGTCTCAGTAAAGTAAGTGTTTGTTTGGTTTTCAGGGGCTGAATCTTCCTGTGGTTGGGTCTCAAATCGTGGGACTGGTCCCATTAAAAGCCCTTTTGGACTGTGCCGATTTCTACATTAGCCGAGATAAGCTGTTCATCCTGGAGGAAGAGCATAAGATCCGCTTGGTCAGCTGATTTAGCCATGCTAACATTCAATGGAGCAGTAACATTGTCACATGTTCGATAGACTCACAGGATGAAGTTGATGTTTGTATTTTGTTATCTTTGTGTTTGTTTGTTTGTTTGTTTCATTCATGTGGTCAGGTAATTAGCAAACTGGGCCTGGACTCACTGGCTCCCTTCAAACCCAGAGAGAGAATCATAGAGTGAGTGCTTCTGGTTTCCAACTAAGATCCAGATCCAGAACTAAGTCTTTGTTTTAGTTTGAAATAGTATGACGGCCTGGACTGTATCTATGTTAGCTTAAAAATAATCAAATAATGATGATAATTGATAATTGTGTTAGCCAGAACAGCTAAACAGCCAAAAGAACTAATGGTTAGTCCAGAAGTAGCTCAATATTAATCAGAAAAAGGCTAAAACATTAGCCAATAAATGCCAGATAAGTAAGTTAACCATTTGGAACCATTTAAGAGATTTGTTTAAATTTTAGCTCAAATCTGTTTCAGTTCAAATCTATATTTGTGTTGTGCAGGTACATGGTGACACAATCACAGGAAGAACCGCGTCTGGTGTCGCTTTCTGTTAAAGACTTTGTCAAGAGCGTGGGCGCTCGAACGGCGGCCCCTGGTGGAGGATCTGTCTCTGCTGCTGTTGCTGCTTTGGTCTGTTTCTGACAAAATCTTCACGGAATTAGACTTCTTTGTCTAACGATCTAATGTCTGTGGGACACATTTTTCTTGTATCCTGTAGGGGGCAGCACTTGGCTCTATGGTGGGTCAGATGACATATGGAAAAAAGCAGTTTGAGAAGGTGGACAGTGTCATGAGGCGTCTGATCCCACCATTCCACCAGGCCGTGAACGAGCTGCTAGATGTTGTGGACGCTGATGCTAACGCCTTTAATGGATACATGGTGAGCACAGTGTCGACGATGGGCAAGAAAAAAAACACTGCTCCATGTTAGCAGAGCTGGAGCAAACAGAACTTTTTTCATCTGGTTTGACATCCACAGTTGGCCAATAAAGTATTACTCAAGTCCTAGTTTATAAAATAGAAAATACTTTTCTAATCATTTTTTCTAATGTCTTAATCCATTGTGTAGATGGCGCTAAAGATGCCAAAGACAACAACAGAGGAGATTCAGAGGTTTGTGCAACTTTTTGTGTGGTTTTGTGGTTATCACTGAAATAATTTAAATGTTTGTTTGAGATCAGGCGAGACTCTGCACTTCAGGAGGCCTTACAGCAGGCTGTAGGTGTCCCATTAGGGCTGGCCGAGAAGATCAGCGCCCTCTGGAGTCCGCTCAAAGAACTGACTGAATATGGAAATGTAGCCTGTAAATCAGATGCTCAGGTGCGACACCAGACCAGGGAAACACATACATACAGGCTCATACATACAGTGTATGTTGCCATGACTTGACACCGACGTGTTTCTCCTCCTGGCCTCTAGGTGGCAGCCAAAGCTTTGGAAACTGCAGTTTTTGGCGCATACTATAATGTCATGATTAATGTTAAGGATGTGAGTGATGAGGCGTTTGCAGCCAAAGTGAGTTTGGGAGTTTTCAGTACCAAATTGTGTGTCAGAATGTGATTATGATGACTTCATGTTTTATATTACTCTTAAAACACAGACACGGCAAAGAGCATCTTCACTGCTGCAGGAGGCCAAGGATGCTGCCAATATTGTCCTCCAGGTGGCGGAGGACAGGAAGTGATCGGACAAATCTACAGGGAGACAGGATGTAGTCGAGAGGACAGAGCTACTGTTTCTTAGATGTTACAATTACTCCAAATTCAAGAGTAACTGATTGGTTTTAAATGATATGAAATAGTGTTACTGAGTTACTGTGACTGAACAGCACCACACTGAGGTCAAAGCTGTTTTAATTTTAGTTGTAAAAGATAAAATGTGATGAAAATAAAATTGAGTAAATGTTAAAACCTAAAAATCATTTTTTCCATGTTGCAGCGTCATCTTGACTGACACTGCATTACAATAAAGGAAGTCCTTGTGTCCATTAACTGCTTCTTCAAAATAAGAGCAGCTTTAAATGTTAAAGTGTCTGCAGGCATAAATCAGTTGAGGATCAGGACTGGGCCACTTCCAGCTTGGTCTCCGTCAATGATGGAGCCTCCACCACTTCTCCAGACATGAACAGGTCCTGAAACGGGAGAATTGGCAATGATACATAAAATGAAGCTGTTAAATGCCAGTGACAGAAATGATGCGTTTACTGACCTGATCATAAATTACTTTGACAATCAGAGAACAGCTGGGACACGTGGCCACATCCTCTCCATTCTCCAGATCCTCCTGCATCAAAAACAAAAAACAAACGTAAGATTCTTTACTATCCCACTATGAAATAAGGTCGAAAGGGGGCGTTAATTTGTAAACTCTATATTAACAGACATTTGTCAGTAAGAGAAACTATCTTTAGTCTGCTACCGAAGCAGACTAAAGATAGTTTCTCTTACGTAATGCGTTTAGTTTATCGTAAAACGAATTCGACTTGTAATTATAAAATGTAATTATGTTTATATATACTGTAGACTGTAAATCCACCACTAAATTTACCATAACTTTTCCAATGAAAATGGGTTTAAAGTCAGACAACTGTAGGTCTGACTGTCAGCTGTACCTTTGTGATGGCGAATCTGTCTCCGCAGGGACATGGGAAGTAGAATGTCTCTGAGTCCTCGTCATATTCAAAGTCTTCGATCTCGATTTCGTCGTGAAAAACCGACATTTTCCTACGAAAGAACTGCCAAGAAATCAAACAGCAATGCACTCATTTCAGCGTGTGTGTATACACGGGCGTTAGCTGATGACGTCAGAACTCCGCGACCACTGTCTATCCTCGAATGCTGGCTCAATAAACAGCTTGTATGTACAGCACCGTCATCTAGTGGATTGAAGTGAGTATGAACTAAACTCTGTACAACTGTGAGGAATTGTACTTAAGAACTCTGGTTATTTGGGTTCAGTTGGTGGTTAAATTTGAACACAAAGAATTGCTGGACTTTGTTGTTAAAGGTAAAGCTGCCATAAAACACTGTAAAAACAGAACGCATAGCTGTTCGACTGCATTATAAAGTTAGTAAAACTGAGTAAAAAATACAGCTGCTGATGGCCAAAATGTACAGCGACTCAATAACAGTGTCAACATTCAACAACTAAATTACAGTAAGAAAGAAAACACAGTTAATGTTCAGAAACTTGATTACACTATAAAACAAAAAAAGTTGCTATGCTACATTTTTAAAGTGAAAAATACATCTGCAAAAATGTACAGCAACAGTACTGCACTGTAACATTTAACAAAGTAGCTGACTGTAAAAAATATAAACCAGAGTGCAGTTGATGGTTATGTTGTTGTTTTATTATTTTAAAAATTGATTTATTTTTGACAGTGCAGCTGTACATTTACATTCTATTCAGCCCAGTGCAGTGATCCAGTGACAACTAATCATGTTGTTCATGTTGTTCTTTTTTTTTATTAACCAAACATTGTGGGAAACTTTCTTTAAACTGGCAGAAGAAGTTGGAAGGGGCGGAACAAAGTTCACACGGACACACAACCGAGCCCACTTTCNNNAAGAGGGAGAGACAGAGAATGGAAGACAGAGAGAGAGAGAGAGAGAGAGAGAGAGGGAGGGAGAGATTTAGAGATTGAGTGAGAGAGAGAGAGAGTGAGCATCAATGTTGCTGTTGTTTGTGGTTATCCAATCAGAGTGTAGCACTGCATGTGCATTACAAACACACAAACACACACACACACACACACACACTCACTCCCTCCTTGTCTTAGCTGCTCCAGACTGTGGACAGTGAGCTTCTCTGCACGACGTCCTCAGCGCCAGC